TTTTGTGCAAACATTTTTATCTCACCTTATAATACTTCAGACTCTAAAGTATTTACCAGAAACTGAATTTTATTTAATATGTCTAAAATCATTAATTTATCAATATCTTTTAACTGGGTGCATTTCTATAATGATGTCTCCCAAAGAGCACAAAGAAAATACATATAGCATTGTTATGGCGAGGTTAATGAGAAACTTCGGCGATGTTTGTCAAAGAGGACAACGTTTCTTTATTATGCCAGCATCCGGAGTGTCAGCGAATGCCCAATCCACTCTGATCTCTAAAGGCTATTCTACAAAAGGTTTTCTCTACAATAGGTTTTCCACTGTACAGTTAAGGGGAGTTGAGCAGGTGCTGATTACACTCAAGGTAACCGCAAGACCCAGACAAAGGGCGTTGGCACTGCCAGTGGCAGGGTGCTGTCATCGGGAGTTGGAGCAGGTGCTGGCGATCTGCATTTGCTTTCCCAGGCAAGGCCGGGCGGGGCGCGGGAGGGTAAGATGGCTGTGCTGAGGTTCACGAGGGAAGGTCACTGCCACACTGGCATATCGCTGGGAACAGTTTGTGCTGGAGGAGGCTTGGGTTTTCAGCTTGAAACAAATTGGCTAGACTTAGGATAAAGTGAGCTGCGACCTTATCACATTTATCATAAATACTTCTGAACATTTTTTACCAGGAAAATTAGTTATACAAATGAAAACAACAGGTGGTATTTCCTCACAAGTAATAGATTGTCAAAGCAAACTAAAAAATGACACATAAAAATTCAGAATGAACAAAGGATATCATTACCTTTTAAGGTGGGATTGTAGGGATGCTGTCTTTCTTTCCCTGTCTCTGGCCCTGCCAGCCTCCCATGCATCCTAATTCATAGGACAATGGTTAGGTTAGCATTTTTCATTTCATAACACAGCAATCTGATTTTATGCCTACATTGTGAATAAGGGTAATGAAGAAAACATAGACAATGATATTTATTTTTTTCTGTTCTTTTAGACCTTCTTTTGTCCTAAACTTAAAATCCCTTTACTTCAAGAATGCAAAATAAATGTATGGTACAAACATGTTTCTAATGAGGCCATTGATCACCCAAGTTCAAGGGACTTGCTTTTTATGTCCTCCTGCACAGAAACTGAATGGGAGCAGCAGCTCGTCAGAAGGCAGCACCGTGGACATTGGTGCACCCGCAGAGGAGCAACCTGTAGTGGAGCCAGAAGAAACCCTTGAACCTGAAGCCTGTTTCACGGAAGGTAAAGAAAATGATCTTTGTGTGAATTGTCCACTTGCAGCTGTGTATTTTCACACCGTGGTCACTCAGCACTGATTGCCCCAGAGCAGAGCCAACATGGCCGGACTGTTTCTTTTGCCGCTAAAATGCTAGCAGACCAAAAAGGACCTGATGTCTAGGTCGTTCTTTGGCTATGGTTGCTCATCATGAACACGATGGGGAAAATTATGTTCAGGTAACCGACTGACTGACTCTTGCTAAAATGTATCATTTCTAAGTCTATAAGTATGCCCTTAAGAATAAAATTATAATTTAACAATATTTTGGCTTTTAAGAAAATACTTTTATTGGGGGCTCTTACATCTCTGATCACAATCCATACATTCAGCCAGTGTGTCAAGCACATTTTCACATAGGCTGCCATCATCATTTTCAAATCATTTTCTTCCCACTTGAATCCCTGATATCAGCTCCCCATTTCTTCCCCCTCGCTCCCCCACAAACCCTTTATTTTCATATCTTACATCATCCTCTGTCGCCCCTCACCTATTTTTCCATTGTTCATCCCTTGAGAGAGGGGTATAGGTTGACCCTTGTGATTGATTCCCCTTTCTCCCCCATCCTCCCCTAATCCCCCTGATATCTCTACTCTCCTTGTCCCTGAGGAGCTTTTCTATCCTGGATTCCTGGTGTTGCAGACTCTTGTCTGTAGCAGTGTGCATGCTCCGGTCCAATGTGATTTGAATGGGGAGGGGAGTGGAGACCCAATGCCCATCTGTAGACAATTGGACATCCCCTCACAGAGGGGTCACAGGGAAGAGAAGGGCCAGCCAGGGGGCAGTAGAGCACCGATGAAACACACAACTTCCCTCTAGTTCTTGGCGCTTCCTTCACCCCACTATCATGACCTCAATTCTACCATATGTTGCCATTTTATAAACTACTCAGAATACAGTCTCTCACTTACGTTATTTGCCCTAAAAGTAACTTTCTGACTACTGAAACGAAATGAATTATTGATGCTAAACCTTGTTTCTTAAGGGATGTATCTTTTTTCTAAGATTTGCTGAGTGGAACAGGAAATATGCACTGACCTTGACACCTTTTGCCTAAACAGTATGTAGTTAATGGGTACAACATGGCCAATAAATAGAAGAGATTGCTTTTTCCCCACAACTGATATTTTTCATGATCTGATTTTCTTGGGGATTTGTTTTAGCGATATGAATGTATTCGCCAATTATCCACGTAGTTGTCTGGTCCTCATAGGGCTGGTATGTATGTATTCATTCAGCCTGCATCTCTGCATGTTTCCTACAAAAATCAGATACGTTCAAAGTCTTCCTCAAAGCTACCTTCCACTGACTAGAACAGTGGTTCTCAACCTTCCTAATGCCGTGACCCTTTCATACAATTCCTCGTGTTGTGGTGACCCCAACCATAAAATTATTTTTGTTGCTACTTCATAACTGTAATTTTGCTACTGTTATGAATCGGGTGACCCTGTGAAAGCATCATTTGACCCCCAGTGGGGTTGGGACTCACGGGTTGAGAACTGCTGGACTAGGGGATAAAAATACAAACGCAAGCAAACCCACTGTTGCTGAGTTGATTCTGACTCATAGCGACCCTATAGGGCAGAGTAGGGCTGCCTCCATGGGCTGTCCAAGGTGATAAGCCTTGCCGGAGGCTAACTGCTGCATCACCTTTTTGTTTGTAGGAAGAGCGACTGTTGCATTCATTGAGGAAGCACTTTAACACTGTATCGCAGGACTCCTATAGCGTAAAGGGACACCTTATTGCGCTGGATACCTGTAACAACCACATAACATAGTTAATACTAACGCATACATTGTTGTGCATTTCCTTTAAGTCGATGTGACTCGTGGCAGCCTTAGGAAAACTCTTGACTTTCACTTTTTTTTTCTTTTGAGGGAATGTTGAGGGTGTCAAGGACCCACTTCCCTAGGCTTATATACTCCTAGATGTTGTTTTGAATACCAGAAAGTCCTTCATTGCAAGGTACAGTGTGCTGTATGCTATCACTACGAAGATGAATCCTCTATAGTCTGCTCACATAGATGTATAGTCTTGAGTAACCTAAGGAGCAACTCTCCTCTGTCCTGTAGGGCTGCTAGGAGAAAGAATCAACTCAATGGCAGTGAGTTATTGAGTATGGTCTTTGTGGGAGCTCCAGTACAGCCCAGTGCTGGGTTGCTAACCAAAACGGCAGCAGTTCAAAACCACTAGCTGCTCCATGGGAGAAAGATAGGCTATGCTGCTGCTGTAGACATCTACAACCTTGAAGCCCTGAGGGGCAACTCTTCTCTGATGAAAAGACACTCACAAAGACTTGTCCAGCTGGTTCGAATGTCACTGTGACTTAAGGGAGCAAGAGGAAGTCAGTGACAGATGAAAGCGAGGACAGAAAAATCACATTGGAGTGCACTAAATTAATTTTGAAAATGATGGATTCTCTTTGACAAACACTCAACAGATTCAACATTAAAGGTGGATCTTCCTTTAAAAGGAAGTTTTCTCTTCATTCTTGAAAAATTATATTTAGAAGTCTTTTTCTAGGATGATTGTAACTGAGTGCAAGAGGTTGATAGAATTTGAGACTAAACTACTTTATGTTGATTTATACTTTCCAACAACACTGTGAAGTAGATAGAAAAAGTAGGTATAAATGGCCCAGGAACTATTTAAAGAGGTTGAATAATTTTCACAACTTCATAATTAATTAATTATTTCACCGTTCATAATTAATGAGCAGAAGACCAAAAAAAGCATGAATATGCAAAGGATATTATTGAAGCAGAAGTTTCTTTTGACTACTCTGATATGAACATTATGCTTGCAGGCTGTGTACAAAGATTCAAATGCTGTCAAGTGAGTGTGGAAGAAGGGAGAGGAAAACAATGGTGGAACCTGCGAAGAACCTGCTTCCGAATTGTGGAGCACAACTGGTTTGAGACTTTCATTGTATTCATGATTCTCCTGAGCAGCGGTGCTCTGGTGAGTGAGTAACAAACAGACAGAACACCAACCACAGTATGAATATTTTAAATTCTAGAATACCAATGTCTCCTTTCTACTGCATTGTCCTAGTACCCAATGACCTTTTAATTGCTTCACCTCAGAGACTCACCATGGACTCACCCATCGATTCATCCCATAGACTCACCATAGACTTAATTTGTAAAAGGAGCAACTATATATTTTGGGGTTTGCTTTTATTATTGTAGGCACATTTCCAGAAAGCTATTTATTAATGTTTGCTTGTTATTAAATATCCCATAAAATGTAGCCCCTCACTATATTCATCCTAACCCAAAGAAGAGAGAGATTTGATTACTCATATTTAATAAGAAAATAAGCATGTCAGCCACATGGTAGCTAATAGAAGTTCTGTGATTGGGAATATATACACACACACACATTAATATATACAAGTATTCTCAGTATTATTATGACTATCTCTTTGAGTGAGTCCTGCGGGATCATTTTCTGCCTCTTTCTAATTGTGTTCATTATTCTCTTGCGTCTCAGAAATGATGACTGTTAGTAATAATAAATATTGGGTCGCATGCCTAAGTGATTCTTTTAAGGATTGGTTTATCTCTATAAAACAGTGTTCATTTGAGTAGGATCAATTGATATTTATATGAAAATCATTTGTGAAGCTATAAAGTACATATAGCAGAATTTTGAAAATGTTAGGACACAAATGAAATACTCTAGCAACTGGATGATATAAAAGAAAGGAGGGAGTGAGGAAGAGAAAGAGGGAGACTGGCAGGTAAGTAGGTACACAGGTAGGTAAAGATTGAAAGAAAAGAGACAGCAAAGAAGAAATTGCCTAATTGAAACACATTACATTTATGTTCCGATTAAACTTGTAATTCTAACAGGCCCTTGGACCTCCTGTCTATTTCTCTGATGAAATAGGCTTTCTCTAGAAGTCATGTAAGACAAGAAATATACTGTCATCACCGAGAAAATGTGTGCTTAGCTACAAAGTACCTGAGAGTGTTTAATATTATAAGGAGACATATTCTGGTTCAAATGAGAAGGCATTTTATTTTACCATTGTTGTCACCTCATATCTCCACTGAGAAATATAAACTATGAACAAAGTAAAGAACTAGGAAAAGAGATGAATCTAGATTTTTATTGAAACCAGCAGTGTGGTGATCAATTACATTCTGCTTCGAGAAATTACATTGTACTTCAGCATCAAGAACTATTTACTTCTTAAGGGAGTCAAACTAATTCTTGAAATTATGAGTTCCTGCCTATCCTCTGAATGTTTAGTCATGAAGAGTCTAACTTTCCCCTTATTGAATAATTAAAAAGCCTTTAATAAGCAACAGCTATTACTCTTCTGGCCTCCTATTTCAGCGATATTAGATAGATGTAGCAAAACCTTCAAAACCTATGTGAGGCAGACATTTCTCAAAGATAGAAATATCCTTGGGTGTTTATGTGGTAGGATTCTTAATAGAAAGCGAGGGAGGAAAGTGGTGAGTGCCTGTGAAAGAGGGAAGACTTGTGAGAGTCAGAAAACCCAAGCTGTCCTGTCAAGTTCCTGCTCTCATAGCTTCATAGGTAGGTGGGTAGGTAGGTAGTTAGGTAGGTGGGTGGGTGGGTGGGTGGGTGACTGGGTGGATGGTTGGCTAAATAAGAAAAAGATTATAAACTACAATAGTATTTGAAAGCTAAAATGTATAATTTTTTCATTATAGGCCTTTGAAGACATCTATATTGATCAGCGAAAGACAATTAAGACTATGTTGGAATATGCTGACAAGGTCTTCACTTATATTTTCATTCTGGAAATGCTTCTAAAATGGGTGGCATATGGCTATCAAACATATTTCACCAATGCTTGGTGTTGGCTTGACTTCTTAATTGTCGATGTAGGTATCATCCATATTTTTTATACTATTTAAGGTAGTGTGTCTTGTTTCTATGTTAATCTGAAATAGTTCATTTCCAATCAGTGTGCTGTTTTCCCTAGCATGCTACTTACTAAGAACACCCCAAGAAAACCAATATCCATGGGACATTCTCTTTTAAAATAAAGGTTTCTGTACGTTCTTAATCATCTGTATTACAGAGTCCTTTGCTAGGTTGATTTCAACTGAGCACCAAGAGAAAGCTACTTCCTGTTTACTTATACTTTGCAAAATTCACCCTTGGACAATGAAACTGGGAAGTAGAAAAAGTAGGAATAATGGTCAAGGAACTATTTAACGAGGTTGAATAATTTTCACAACTTCACAGAGTTAATGAATGGTGTCCTAAGTACTCCAGGCTTATATGCTCTACCTTCACAAGATAAAGAGACTTGTGATTGTGGGGGGAAATACTAAGTTCACTCACTGAGTGATGGTGCAGGTCTTAGAAGATAAGAGTTACATTAGTACCAAAGGTGGCACTGTCAGCTAAGTGTTGGATGGTTAACCACAAAGGATGCAGTTCAAACTCCCCAGCCACTCCCCAGGAGGAAGATGAGGCTGTCTGCTTCCATAAAGATCCTAACGCCTCAGACCCGTTATACAGCGTCACTAGGCGTGAGAACGGACTTGATGACAGCGGGTGGGATCTAGAATAAAAAGCTTAAAGACAGCCACAAATTTCAATGAAGGCGGTAAAATAAGCAATTTGAAGTATATATTTTTTAAAGTACGTAGATTGCCCAGTGTGTAGCTGGGTTTGGGATTCAAGAGCCAAATTTGAATCCCAGCCCCACTACTCACTGTTTGTGTGACATTGTGTTGTTTGGCCCTACCTTGGGAAAATGGTGACAGTACGTTATTGAAGGCTCAATAAAAAGTGATGGTAAGGATGGTAGAGGGAATGGTCTAACTCCTTTATAAATATAATCCACCTATTCCATCCAGTGGATTTAGACAAATAACAACCCTATACACATTAGACCTCCTCCAGTAGAGTTTCCGAGGTGATATAACTTTATAGGTCAGACACCCTTTTCTTTCTCTCAGGATCCGACTGGTAAAGCCGTGTTTTGTCTCCTATAAATCATTCCTCCAAGAAATGCTCAGGATCCTGATCCTACTTGTTTAAAATTTCCATTGACAGCTTGGCTCTTATCTTCAGTTGATGGGGTGCAATAGCTTCCCCAGTCATCAAGCAGGATTTTGTTTGATTTGCTTTTTCTGTCAGAATGGTGTAAGTTGTAGCGGTTGAGATGCCTGTGGAGACAGCTGTAGTTTCTATTGTGAATGGCTCGGCCTCTGAGAGCAAGGATAAGACTACTTCCTCGCAAATGGATGTGGATGGTCAGCTGTCAGGCTTCGTTTTCAACAGCCTCCGGTCCCTTCTTTAAAAACAAGTTGCCATTTATAAACTGCTAATTGGGGGGCACATTGTTGCTATAAACGTTTTCATTTTGATTTCACCATTTTCTTTATTCTTCCACCCAAGCATCACTGACCGTAACTGTGTGTACTTCTTGCAATAGTGGCAGAAGCCATGGTTGTGATACGGACTCTTTTTCCAACTGATGTCTTATCTTCATTCGTGTCACAGAATAGACCCCATTCAGATAGGTTAGAATAAGTTAGTATGAGGGTTTTTTGGTACAGTTTTTTTAAAATCCATGCAAAGTTGTTGTTTGTTCCATGAGCTTTTTGAAGGCATTTCATAGACTAGGATTGCGGAGCAGAGAGTGTACCAATTAGCTACTCACAGAGTTTGTAATCCAAATCCTCACACCTCATTTAACCCAAGTGAGGCCTATGGATTTGTTAAGCAAAATATCATGTTTCATCTTATGGATCTAGCATATGTTTGACTTTGGACAAATACATCCGGATATCAGAGATATATAGGCAGCAGTCTTATTCTAAAGAGACTGCCCTTTTCTTACAGAAAGGAGTTCTGGAGCTAACAGTTCAGCATGTTTTAATAGCTCCTTGATTCTGAACAAAGGCAAGTCAAAGCCATTTGAGAAGCTTAATAATGCCATCAGAAAATGAATGAATGAGAGGAACCTTTAGAAGAATAATTTCTTCATCATATCATAATAGGGAAAATAGAGCATGGGCCAATTAACTTTGGGCATCTATGATTTAGAGAATGTGATATCTAATATAGTTTCTTTTTTTCATACATCTTTCATACAAAGAAAACCATTCATCAATTTATTATGGTAAATATTTGTTGCCTGGCCAGGTTCTGTGGCAGAAGCTGTAAATTCGTGCACAAAATTGAGAATGTTTTATGATGGAATTATTTTTTAAGTTGTATAATTTACATAAGAATAATCTTTAAACAATTGAGAATTCAAACATCACCTTTCAAAGACATTTAACACATTAGTTTCTAAGATTATCATTTATAATACTGACTGTGGAAATTCGGGCTAGACTTTTACTTTTTTTCAGGTACTATAGTATTTTGCATCTTATAAATTAACCACAAGACAAAGCCCTAAATTCAACAGACACTTAATAAAGGGTCACAGATGGCATTTTCTTATACCAGGTTCGCTTTCTTTGTTTTCCTCTGTTTCCTAAAAAGTTCCTTCACTAGTGTATTAGTGGATAATTAAGATATCATACAATATTTCAATGTTTTCCTACCTGTTTTCATCAGTGTCTGCAAACCTACTTTTTTTTACTTAAAACTGTAACTGTTTTCTTAGATTAGTAAAAGGTTTCCTTAAAATGTCTAACCATTCATCTTCTGAATCACGGCAAGCACGGTTCCCTATTCGCCATCAAGTCAAATCTGACTCAGGGCAACCTCAGATGTTACCAAGAATTGTCCTTCATAGCATGTTCATGGCTGGCACCTTTCAGAACGAGACTTCCACACCTTTCTCGGAGAGACCTCTTTGGGTGGGCACCACCCACCAACCTTGGAGTCAGTAGTCTAGCACTTAACGATGTTTACCACCCAGGGATGTGTCAGTGTACCAAGTAGTGACAACACACTGAATGACAAAATTCTGTTTATTGTGTGTGTGTGTGTTTGCAGGTGTCGCTGGTCAGTTTAACAGCAAATGCCTTGGGGTACTCGGAACTCGGTGCCATCAAATCGCTCAGGACACTGAGAGCGCTGAGGCCTTTAAGAGCCTTATCGCGATTTGAAGGAATGAGGGTAAGGAAAACAGAGAGAACTTGTAGTATTACCTAGAGCCAAAATTAAGTCAAATTTAAAATTTAACTATAAAGCCCATGCATGCAAAAGGAATGGCAAATCCTTGCAAAGTTGCTACTTTATTCGTTTATCTCTTGCATATTTACCTAAAAGAGATATGCAAGAGAACTTAGGCCTACCCCCTTGAAATGATATAGTATCATTTACCAGCTATGCTTATTATTAAAATGACCTTATTTCTTAATCCATCCTGGGAGTTTCCTGACAAATCTGTGTACAAAAAGTAGCTGCACTAGAAAATTAGAATGTCAAATAATAAAATAATAACCATTGAAAGTACATTCTGAGGCATATCCTTCTTATTTGTGGTGACCAACTAACCTTAATGAGTTTCATTGAAAATAATGTGAATTTTATGTTTGCCTAAGGAGATGCATAAAAGAAAATATTAAAAGCTGTCAAACTTTTTGTCTGTAAAATGCCAAACTCTGATTTTCAAAAATATATTCAAAGATTCTTTATAATATTCAAGTTTGCATTATTTGAATATATTCACAGGTAGATAAAAAAAAGTTAATGGAATCTTTAACTTTAAAAAAAGTTTTATTTTGTATAGCCTCAATTTCTAACTGCATTAGTCTTCTTAAGTGGGAAATAATCCACAGAAGATACACAATATGAAAATTTAGCTCTATTTTAAGAAGATAAAGTTTTGTTTTATCTAAACAAAGCTGATGAATTAACTTTAATTCTAGTAGACAATACTGTTCTTTTTTAACCTAAGGTGAAGTTAAGGAGCCCTGACCTGATGGTTCAGTGTTGGCCTGCTAACCACAAGGTAGGCAGTTCATACCCACCAGCTGCTGTACAGGAGAACCATGAATAGATTTGCAGTCTTCGAAATCCTGTGGAAGTTCTTCTACCCTGTTCTATAGGGTCACTATGAGTCAGAATCTATTTGTTGGCAGTGAGTTGAGCTATGGTGAATTTAGGATTATAGGAACTAAGATAATATGTAAATATCAATCTTTTGGTAATTTAAAGTATTAATTTATTTTGGGGGGGTTATAAAATAAATTTTATCATAAATGCCTCTATATAAGAGCAAAACTTGCCATCATTTTCCTTAACATATATGAAAATATTTTCCATTAGAAACAATTTAACATAATAAATATGAACAATCTTATTTTACTTCTCACCGATATCTGACTCACACTGTGACTAAAATTGCATTAGAAATCCTCTCCAAAGGGGGAACTGATTGACATATGACCCCCTCTCAGGGGGACGGACATTAGAAAAGTGAGTGAAGGGAGACAGCAGTTGGTGTAAAACATGGAAACAAATTTATAAATTATTAAGGGTTCATAGAGACGGATAAAGAGCTGATACCAAGGCTCAAGTAGAAAGGAAATGTTATGAGAATGATGATGGCAACATAGGTACAAATGTGATTGGCACAATGGATGGATGGATGGATTGTGATAAGAGCTGTAAGAGCCCCCAGTTAAACGATAAAAAAAAGAAAGAAAAAAATTATCTCCAGAGGTATTTAAAAGTTAATGAAATAGTAACTTTTTACTCTTTTGTTATTTTCTACTTGAAATCATTTTGAAAGGCTTCTGAAAGCTCAACAATGTGGAACATCTGAGGTTCTTCTAAACCAAATCGAAATCGGTTGCCATCAACCCAATTCAAGCTTACTAACCCCGCAAAGACTGAGCAGAACTGCTCGCCGGGGTTTCCAAGGTTGTAATCCGTAGGGACTGAGCCCAGGCTGGACCGCGAGTCAGCATTGGACTGCTGACCAAAAGGTCACCTCTTGGGCCCAACCGCTCCTCCGTGGGAGGAAGATGCGGCAGTCTGCTTGTGGGAAGATCTGAAGCCTGGGACGCTCTGAGGAGCGGTTCTTCTCCGTCTCAGAGGAACGCTATAAATCTGCATGCGCTCGATGCCAGGGGAGCCCTGGGAGGAATCTGGCTTCCATTTCTTTCTCTTACCCAGCGGGCTGGGGGCTCACACCACCAGCCTCTCTGTTAGCAGCCCAGCACCAACCACTGCGCCTCCAGAGCTCCCAGAAGCCCTTACAGACATTAGAAAGTTGACCTTTGGGAAGTTTTATTAAATCCACGAATTTAATAGTCAAATAGCCCTGTACATAATACTTTATTTCCTTAACAAAGTTGATATTATGGGTCAACTTTTAATTCTTACAGAAATCACCTTAACCACAATTATGAATGAATTATCACTTTTTACACAACAAGGAAGAGGTGAGTTTCCGTAACTTACGGTTTTCAAATCAAGCTCCTTACGAATGCTGGTTGATGGTGAGATTTAGGAACATGGCTCCGTGCCTCACAATGGCAGCCTAAACACGCCACTCAGTAGTCCACCTCGAAATCTGTTTGGCATTGTAGAGACAAAATAACTTTAGAACAGATTCTGTTTTTTAAAATCTTTTTCTTTCTAGTGTTTGAATTTTTTTTCCACTTTGTACAACCATAACCATATGATGGTGAGGATGGATAGAGTAATGATGGTAATTGGAGATGAGATTTGAATATATTCAGAAACTCTCATTTATGTTCCATAGTGGGATAAAATTGCAATAGCTTTATTAAAGCCACAATCAGCCACTCATTTTATTTCTGCTATGTCATTTTGTCAAAGCATGTGCTTTTACGCCACATTACTAAGTACAGCATGCTGTCCGGTGCTGGATACCGCGTCAGACCATAATCAGTAGATGACCACCTCGTTGCACTTTGTGTTCTCGCATGCTTTGTGCTCATTTCTGGCTGACAGCTCTTAAACATTTATTGTATTTCAAATTTCCAGTCCAAATTTTTCAACCCGTAAACCTGAACTGAGTGAATTGATGTCGTAACTATAGAAAGTAAAATGCAATATGTACTGAAATTTGTATTTTTAATTTTCCTAATCTAGGAAATCTTAATACCATCTATTTCAAAAGCACTCAAGTCTTCATTGATAGGCAAGAGACAGAGAGCATCATATACAAAAGTAACAGCAAATGTTCTGTCATATCCGATTTCTAACTGATAACAAACTATATATTTCTATTTCATATAGGGTAATCTTGCTCCAACTTGGATGGGGTGGAGCGCTGGTTCCTCCCCTCAGCCCTTTCGTATGGGTACTGTATTACCCTTTTGCTGCCTTTCCTCCTTTCGCTGGGACTTCTATGTAGTGGGGCGAGGGGGGGAGGGGGAACGCTGCCATTGTGCCGCAGTAAGGACAATAGCCTACTGACCTTCGAATGCCCTCCTTTCAGAGATCTGAAAGTCTCTTTTAAAAGCATACCTTTATGGATTTACCTGCTGTGGGTTTTAGTTCCAATGGTGGATTCCCTTATATTAAGTTGTATTGAAAAGTACTCAGTGTGTGCATTTTGAGTTATCCATTTGTGGGATATTATTTGATATCGTTGGTGGGTGGAAAACCCTTGGGTAGAATGATTGCGTGAAAATTTTAACTTGTCTATCCTATGACACTGTTTGAGGCATATGCACTGTCCTTTTTAAGTACCCAGGTCTGAGTCCTGAAAATTGTCCTCTTGGAACCAGAAGTTAATTTTTGCTTTCTCAAAAGGTGTGCAGAGGCTAAGGTGCAATATTCCAAGTTTCCTAAGACTGATGTTGATTGTGTGATCATTCTCTTTATTTAAGTGTGAGTTTATGTAGCTATTCAGAAATGTGATGTGGGGGCAAAAAAAAGATAGTATGAAAGAGTTGGATGAGCCCAAGTAATTTAGGTTTTCAAAGCACGGGGGAAATAATATAATAATACCCATTTATTTGAATTATACAGAACACCCCTCGAAAATAAGATCCTCTTATCATGAGTAGTGAGATAGGATTCAGTGTACATATTTACTTCTTAGGTAAGTGACTGCTAACTAGCTTCTTCAAGGAGCCAAGGTGAAGTAAAGTGTAAAGCTTGTGCTCAGCTGCTAACCAAAAGGCCAGTGGTTCAAAATCCATCCACCTGGTTCTAAGGAGAAAAGACAATACAGTAATCTGCTGCTCTAAAAATTACCGTCCAGGAAATGCTATGGGGCACATCAGATAGGGTCCCTCTGTATGATTGCCCAAGGAATCAACTCCACAACACACACACACACACACACACACACACACACACACACCAATAATACCCTTTAACTTCAAAAAATCTTAAAAGATTTAATAGTGGAAACAAATGTAGGAACTATAGAATTATTGTATAAAAATGAGAGTTTTTACGTTTGAGGGGGGAAAATACTGGAATTTTATTTGGATAATATATATCATATCTTTCCAAAATGGCCTTAACAACACCTTTCAACCCAGTGTAGTCTGGAGATATGGAAAAGGTCTGGACTCTACATCCGACCCCAACAATGGTTTCTCACCAGCTTCCTTTTGATGCCTACTCACACATCTTGCCTGTATTCCTGCCAGGGAAACGTTAGACTCTAAGAGTAGTAATGATGTCAAAATGTATTTGTAAATCATGTAACAAGAAAACATTAACATGAAAATTCCCAACATGATTTTGAATATTTCATGCTCCATCCCTCCTTTAAGTGTTTGCTTTTTCAAAGATCAAGAATCAGCAGGCGAGGAGGTTTCTATGAGAACTGTGAGCAGTGAGGGGAGTGGGAAGCAGGTTAGAGAAATTCTGTTTTATGATATTTTGAACAGTTTGTGAGCAGAAGCAAGGTCCAGTGTGGATTCACTAAGACGTTGCTTTTTAGACATCTTCGTTTATGCAGCCTGAACCCTCAATCAGCTCGCTCCGATTTATTCAAGCCAATCTTGTTTAGTGACTGACCACAGGAGAGCTCATTACTGCAGCTCCCTGAGGACTGAAGAGAGTTAATACACTTCCCTCTCTACTGAAGCATGGGGTGGTGTGGGGCTCTTGGGAAAAGAAACTCATTTCTATGCTCCTTCATTGCCTGATTTAATGAACTCATAAAAGCACTTTTGTATAGTAAATCCCCCCATAATATGCCGTATGTTTTCTAAGATAAATTCTTTTTATCTTATTGAAAACAAAACTTTCCTCAGGCCAAACAAGTGCCAAAGCCACAAATAATTATACAGCAATGCATCGCTGCAAAGGGCCTGCTGGAGTCCTGAAACTTGTAGAGTCAATTTTCAGGCAAATCTAATTCCTGTTCCGGAGAGGACCTGCCATATATTTTACTTAAGCACCAAGTGTACTGAGCTCTTTGATTATTCTCTACCAACAGTTAGAATAAACAGTTTTTAAAAGTGTCAACTAATACATGTTACTAAGCTAGATATACTTATTTCATTCAATCATCCATTTATTTAGCCATTTTCAGATTTCTATAGAGAACAAAACAAGACTTTCTACTCCTGTACAGAGCTGTAGTCTCAGAAACCCATGGGGGCATTTCTACCCTGCTCTGTAAGATTGCTGTGAGTTGGAATTGATTCAATGGCAGGGTGTTTGGATTTTTTTAATATTCAAATCATTCTGTTATAGTCCTACATTCAAAATACTCACAGCACTGGAGAATTCAGAAATATACTTTGCCATCTTAATTTTTTAAGTTATAAGCTATCAGGAATACAAATAACTTTAATATATGAGGGTATGTCAAAAGAGTCTGCTCCATGCAAAACATGCGTAAACATGTCTTTGTGAGCAGTGTATGGCTGCAGACACGTCCCTCAAGAAAAAAAAAGGGGGAAGCCTGGTGGGGGTCCCTAAATTTTTAAAAAAAGCCCCCAATTTAAAAAAGAACTCCAAAGGGAACCAACGGGCCAAGTCAACCCAAAGCAAAAAAGGTGAAAAAAAACGGTAAGGGGAAGGGGAGGGAAGAAAAGGTGGAAGGGGAAAAAGTAAAAAGGAAAAACCTGAAAAGCCTTAATGAAGGACAAAAGAAGAACAAGGGGCCTAATAAAAAAAAAAAACTTTTAAGAAACTGAAAACTTCACTGGTGAGAAAAAGACCAGGAGCTTTGTGTCTGGTTTTCGGGTTTGTTTTCCACCAGGAGATTACACCTACTCATTCTTAGACGGTAGTGAGGGCCTCCGTCCTACAAGACTTCTACCGGGAAATTTTACCACCACGCAATCGCATGTGCCCTTCCGTTTCCTTTTTATTTCCAAACCTCAAAAGCATTGGAAAGGAACATGGATGAAGTCTCTTGAGGAGCTCACAACTGCAGTTTTGAGTGGTGTCCATGGGAGAACAGAACATTCTCTGGGGACCGTTCGGAGAGATAGAAACACTACCTTCAGGCATGCATACACCTAGATAGAGGACCAAGACATTCAAAGGCTCAAATGTTGATGTTTTTGTTTAATCAAGGCCTGTAGGGTTTTATAGAACGTTCTGACTTACCCTCAGAGAGAAACATCGCTACCACACACCAGGGAGCAAGTCTCGGCTGAAGCACAGAGGGAGACAGAAAACCTGTGGTTCTACTGCTGCTGTCCTTTCTGAAAGCAGCCCATTTGGCTTCACTGTTCAACTGTGTTGAATGAGAGCACAATGCTAAATAGTCTCAGGGTCCTGCCAGTCCTGGGATTCTGCAAGAACTAAACTGAGGAGCGAGGTAGACTCCATGACCAAAGTGCTATTTGAAATAGCACCCATCTTCAAAGGGAGTTTCTCTAAAGGGGAGGAAGTGCGGGCATCTCAGCTCTACAGAATGTTCAGCGCCTCGTTATGAGCTTAGTGGGATTGACACAAAGCAGAGTGGACAGGGAAATGAGAAGTAGAAACGAAGGATTTGAAGACCAAGGTAAAGAAAAGCATTTATACACAGTGGGGATTCCTTAGGTAATTTCAAAGATGGTCTTCTGAACATGGAATTTGTGGAGGTTCATTCATTTGGCATCTAGTCAAGGAAGACCAAAAGGAACCAAAGTGCTGGCATAAACTAACTAGGATTGTTCAATGGAAAATGGAAAAGAAGTTGAGGTGAGAATGGTTTTGAAGAAAGAAGGGTAAAACCTTCAGATGACCATGAAAGAAAACCCAAAAGGTGTGGGTGACACTCTAAATTGGATTTTGTGTTTAAACATACATGTGAACATGTACTATCTGTAAATAATCGACACAGCTTTTTAATCTGGATGGTAACCAACATGTTCTGAAAAGAATCGAAAGGGATAATAACTTGAATTCGGGTTTCAAACCTCTCATCCAAAAGAAAGATAATTATATTAAGTTAGGTTGAAATCAAATGTATTTAAAAAGAAGCAGAGAACAGGGGCTCATTAGATTGGTTTTATTAATGAGGATAGCCAAACAGGATATGGAATAGGATCAGGTACCAGGTTGGCATACTATGTAAACCACACCATCTGGTTCTGCCTGGGTGACAGCTCAGTTTTATTTTTCCTTCCTCGTTTCCCTACCTTAGTCATTAATAGTTCTATTATTTCCTGTGGCCTCTTTCTCATACTGTTTGTATCTTCAGAAAGTCAAGGTTTCTTTAGAGATTTTAAACAGGACTCAGAAACATAAGGACTTGCCTTACGCATACATACATACCTATATGTAAATATACTTTTCAGAGAGGTAATTTAAAAAAAAACCCATTTATTCTAAAATGTGCTGGCATTAAATGGCAGATATAATAACCATGGTTTTGTGATGCCTGCTCCAAGTAACGAGAACAATAGAAGTATACCAGGTAGAATGAAAGTTCGTTACTAATGTCAAGTCTGAAGCACATTCGCCTCCAGTTCTAGGACTCTTCCTTTACTTTGAGCCCCTCCCTCCCCTGGGGCTCCAATAAGCACTGGGGAGAGGGTGGTGATGGAGCGGGAGATGAAGTTACGACAGCCATCCTTACCATTGTAGCAAAGATGACAAGGGGCACTGACCATCAAGCTAATAGGAGAACTATACTTGTATGGGGAAAAATACAAGTAGATAACGACTTAGCACAGAAACTGATGTCCTTCCAATGGATTTGGGGACAATGTATGGCACCCCTCCTTTCTCAGAGAAACTAAAATTTCAGGTTTCATTTAAAAGAAGTTTATTGCATTAAACTCAGTAAATGAAACAGCTGACATGACTGGAGCTTGAAATAAACGATGCGATGATCTAATGAAATACATAATGCTAAATTGTCTTGCTTCTTATGCAAAAATGATTATTAGTCATAGCAATGCATGAATAATTAAGGACAAAATTACAGTAGGTATTTAATAAAAATTTTATACTTATACACCTGAATTAAAAAAATTTTAAGTATTTTATTGGCCAGGTCAACTCATGTCCACGCATTTCAGTTTTTGCTCTTTAATATGTTGCCTTTTTTAGTGAATCAGTCTTCCGCATTAGGATTCCCAGTTCTCTATTGTGTAGTGAAAACCTATTCTGACCTGACTGGGCAGCATGTTATTCTGATGTTGGTTTTTCTTTAATCTTTCAGTACTCGCTCCTATTTTTTTTGGTTATTTCTTTGTTATAATGCCTATATCTGTAACCTTGAATGTATTGCTTATGAAAGAATAAGTTTCAAGATTTTCTTTAATTTTACTTTAAAATATCCTAGAACAATTGCTCAATAGAAAAGATTAAAGGTTACTAAGGGAATGTATTTTTTCTTTTTTCATTTTTAACCAATAAGAACTCTGACTCTTCTTTTTTTCCATTTGTGTATTAGGTGGTTGTGAATGCCCTTTTAGGAGCAATTCCATCCATCATGAATGTGCTTCTGGTTTGTCTTATATTCTGGCTAATTTTCAGCATCATGGGCGTAAATTTGTTTGCTGGCAAATTCTACCACTGTATTAACACCACAACTGGTAACATGTTTGACATCTCCGAAGTGAATAATCATTCTGATTGCCTAAAACTCATAGAGAGAAATGAGACTGCCCGATGGAAAAATGTGAAAGTGAACTTTGATAATGTAGGATTCGGGTACCTTTCTTTGCTTCAAGTTGTAAGTGAACATTCTTTTCTCTGAATTTGTGTTTCCTATTTGTTTGGGATAGTAAAAGAAAAAGTAATGATCATGCATCTATCATTTGGTCAGTAAGAAGAAAGTTTATAAGATAATTGTATTCTGTGTGCTTTTTTTTGACTTAGTGGTACAAGTTTATGAGCGCAGATCTGTAGAAATGTCATTACATCAAAGTGGTACAGACATAGTCAATCAAGCCCAGATCGTTCGGTTCTCTTCCGAGATCCTTCTCTCTCCATGTTGTTCTCTCTTCCCATCTGTACACATTGGTTGACGAATCCATGCCTTTTCTCTTGTTCTCTCCATTGCAATTCAAAAGCTTGATAAATCACCCCCAAAGTACACACACTTAACACATCTGAGTTGATTGTAAATAGCCAGTAGGACTGAACGACTAGTAGGCTGTATGCTGAGCTATACCATTTGGGCAGAAGATTGGGGAATCTTTTGATTTTATGATTACAGCCTGACAATGAAATGGAAATAATATCTGAAAGTACCTAGATGCAGAAATGAAATAGAGTCAATTATTATCTCAACTCAAATGACTTTTAGCCACAATTTTTATAGCTGCTTGATCTCAGATAATGTTTGTACTACTAGGAATCCAAAACTGATTTGCACAGAAGAAAAAGAGTCTACAAGTTGTCAAACTACAAAGGCTAGTGGGAGGAGCCCTGGTGGCACCATGGATAAGCTCTAGGTGGCTAACCGAAAGGTCGCTGGTGTGAACCCACTAGCTCTTCTCCTCCTCCTCGTGGAGGGGTGAGGGGGTATGTGTGGATGTGGCAGTCTGCGTCCATAAAGATCTGCACCCTGGGCTTCAGCTGTTCCCAGCTGCAGTTGTAGTGCAACAAAAAGGGGGCTAGAACAGAACTCTGGTTGTTTGAAAACGTTGTAGAGATCATTGCCCAATTTTGGTCGCTGAAAACTCAGCTTAAACATAAATATATCAGTGAAAGGCTGCCTGATTTCTCCCCTTGTGATGCTCCAGCGTCTGTAAGCAGGCCTCTTTTTGGTGCATCAGCCTGTCGTTTTCAACCACAAGTCTGGAGACCTAACCAGCAAAGAAACCCAAACGGGTCCAATCCTCTTGTAGCTCTAAGCTAAGATTCTTTCATGAGTCACTCCCAACTTCTTGTGGGAAGTCTAATTTCACTTCTGGATGTTTCTAATTTACTCTGGATATGTCTGTAATTAAAAGGGGGATTTTAAAAATCTGGTAAATATGAGCTCTTTAACTATTACAGCAAACCTGTCATATTGCCATGAGATAACACATTTGTCAATATCACTAAAGCATATACTTCCTTCATAAAATCAAGAAGAAAAATATTTAAACTATTAAGCTGTCTATTCAAATACTAAACAATTCTGGAAATATAGGATATATCCTTAGGACAAATATAGGGCATGTATTTAGGACAAATATAGGACAATATAGGAAATATAGGTTCCAGTGGGTATATTAGTAAATAGATTCTGTTACTGAAATATACTCCAATACTGTAGTCTTTGATTTTAGACACCTCTCAGAATCATCATTCTGTTGATTAGCGAGTCATTTAAATGGTTCTTTGAATCGCTTTTCCTGTTCCATACCTAGGGTGTAACGGGCTTGCTTTATCACAGCTACTTCAAGCCGCTGATGGCTTCATCATTTCCCTCTATGGTGTACAAAGCATCTGCTCCCAGACTTTCTTTTCACTGCCATCCCATGCACACACAAGGTTTTCTACTCACTGGACCTACCAGTTCACAAGTTTGGGTGTCAGAAGAACAAAGATGTGTTGTGCTATAGAAGCTGAAGGCTCTCCCAAGCTCACTCACTCGCTAAGAGACGAGCCTCTCAGGCCCACGGGACTCAAAATCTATGACCTAGAGCAAATAATAAAGTATGACTTATTTATCTACCTAGCAGTTATTCGACTTGGGATGTTTCCTGAGCCTGCGATTTCAATACAAGTAGGACTGTGCTATTTCCCACATCTATTACAGAATTAGCTGCGCTGTTGCAGTGGTTAGATGCTGTAGAGTCGGTTCCGATTCAGAGCGAACCTGTGTGCTACAGAAGGGAACATGACCCAGTCCGGTGCCATCCTCACAGTGTTCTTATGTGTGAGCCCACTTATGCACCCACAGAACTAACTACCCATCATCCCAAATTACAGTGAAGCAAGTAGCACATAGACTATGCCTGACGATGCACTTCAAAACTTTTGAAAGGGTAGCTACAACTCTGACTTTATGTAGACCTGTAAGACCCTTGGATTGTTACAGTCAGTAGAAATCTGAAATGTTCAGTCACCAGTCCCTTAGCAGACAGGCTTAAGTGCATGATCATCAGATCTAAGCTGCAATCATTTTGCTGCTACTGATGTTGCCTAAAGGGTTGGCACTTATAAAGCTCTCTAAAAGGATTACACCCTTTCAGTGGCCGATAAATTGCATGATTCTATTAACTCTAAAGAACTCAAGTATTTTTGAGATCAAGAAGAAAGATACAACAGTGAACATTTTGTGTATTATATAATCTAGGAAGTAATGCTAAGGTAGGACCTTGGTCCAAAGTCCTTGTAAAATGCGTTTTGAAAAGTTTTCCCAAAATGTCACTTTTTTTCTGGAAAAAAAAATTACTAAAAAAATTATAAAACCTCAGGACTGAATGACTTTTACTCCAAAGTGAAATATGCATGTATTTTTAATAGGCCACATTTAAGGGATGGATGGACATAATGTATGCAGCTGTTGACTCCAGAAATGTAAGTATTTCTTACATACTAAGTCCTCTCACAATCTCAGCTAGGGGCTTTGAAATGCAATATTTATCACAAAGATATTATAAGTCAAATAATGAAGTTATTTGAAACTCAAAGAAATATTCATATATTTAATAACTAACAAATATCCTTCTATTAAATATTTTCCTATTTTATTTCCCATTAATCTATCAACTGTATGGTCAGCAGTAATTTTGATGTGTAGAGGCAAATGAGAAGAAATAGATGCATCCTTATCATACGTTTAAATGTTTCATTGCTGTCCATGTAAGCAGGATGGAAAATTGGGAATATTGTCCAGACAGCATTCAATTTCTGTACTGTTCCTTTTCAGATGTATGATTTTAAATGCTTTGGGGATCATAGTATACTTCATTACTTCCTATGCAAATTACACTTCTGTGTAATTTTTAGTATCAATGTGCTGAAGTCTTTATCAATGTTATGACTTCTGTGTTCAAGTTTCTTTACATTTATAACATCAAAGTAAAGGCCTGCTTTATTTGATCTATCCCACAACTGTCACTTTCAAGTTTTAACATGCAGGGTTTGAACAAGTTCTTCGCAGGTTAGTCCTGGTCAATTAAATACAACCAGAATAGACCTGAGTTTGAGAAATGTGGGTGCCTAGAGGAAAGTTATAGGTAGACACTACTAGATACACTTAATCTTTCTCTTAAAGCAAATCCCTTGCCTGGTGTGTCGCTCTGCACAGTCCTGCTAAAAATACGGTCTGTGCATCCCATTCCAGGGCTGCGATCCACAAAGACCCCCTTCTGATGCTCCCCCGAGGCTTCACATCGTGCAAATGCAGGTCTGGCTTGGGCATCATCACCCACCTGGTTTCAACCAGTTTGAAGCCCTGTTCAAAAGTGAATTAAAGTCCATGCGCATTTTAAAACTGCCCTTTGAAATTCTGTAACACTTAGTATTTTTTATCAGCCTTCATTTTTTCCATCGTAAAATTCTATCAGTGCCGTCTGCCATCATAAAAAAATAACTTCCCTCCTTTAATATTCGAACTGTTTTGTTAGAGCTCGTTTTTATCCTTCTTGAAATACAAATGCTATAAAAGACTTTAGTCTTATGTTCAGTATCTTCTTGATAAATCCTAGAGCTTTGTTATTTCACTTTAGTGCTTTTCATTTTATTTGTATTTGCTTGGTTTTAAACTTCTCTTTAGGAGAATATCACTCTCTACAAAGCTATATACAGTGACTTCTTTACTGCTTTCCTAAGTCATTTTTAATAGCTTACGGTCTACGTATTGCAAACACTGTGTAGCAATTACATTGTAATTGCCAATTGAAGATTTAAATTTGAAGTGTACAGTTAAGACTACTTAATCTGAAATTTTCAATTCATGTGGTAATATTAAGTTTATGATGTCAAACATCCCACCTCAATTCACATGTGTTAAATGAAGTCATATATACATGAACAAGTATTTCTGAACTTAGTCTATGTATACTGTTAGGTAAATATTTTTCACTTCTAATTTTTATGTTATAAAATTTACTTCCCTAAAATGTTGAAAGTTTGGTACAATAGCCAAACATTAATTGAATTTACAAAAGTAGGTGTTAGAATGTCATACTAATCATAATTTTTCACATAAACCATCCCTCAGGTAATTTCAGAGACTTTCTGGTGGTAGTTGAACCAGGAGTTGGGGTGGGGGGTAGCAATGGGAGTAGGGAGGGGGACCAGCTGCTAAGGTATCCCCAGAAATACTCTTTCCTATGTTCACGTGACAGCGCACCACAGTACACTCTAATGCTCTGCACGCTGCTCTCCTCTGCAGGTGGAACTCCAGCCCAAGTACGAGGAAAGTCTCTACATGTACCTGTACTTTGTTATTTTCATCATCTTTGGGTCCTTCTTCACCTTGAACCTATTCATCGGTGTCATCATAGATAATTTCAACCAGCAAAAAAAGAAGATAAGTATTTCTAATGTTTTCTCTTACACGGAGAGCAAAATGTTTTGAGCTTCTGTAGAGAACCCAGACTAACAGTGTTTTCTCCACTATCTGCATACTTGCCTTCAAAAGTCAAGTGCGATATTTATTAAACTGTGGGTTTGCGTCCTCCCTCTATCGCAGGGGCTCCCCACACCACCCTGACTTGTCTTTCTTTATTTTTACTAAGGAGGATAGTTTCCATCTCTCGAAAGAGAGTTACTTAGAAAGAGACATACAGAATGCAGAATTCATGGTCCAAAACAGAAAGCCCCCACATCGTTCACAAATTAAAATTCATTTAAGAACAGAAAGAGATCTGGAATACTCCCTTCTCCAATCGCCCCTCCCTTAAACATGTTTCGTCACTAAAACCTTTAGAGTCTTTGTGAACAATCAGGCCCCGGCACAAACTTCTTCCAGTCTTTCTCCTGACAGTTTTGTTTCACTGGGTTTTGTTTGTATATATTTCCATTTCTTTCTCCCAAGTATTTAACGAGAAGAGATCCTTTCCATTCTTGAATATGACGTTCCTCATTTGGTCAATTATTATCATTTCTAAAGTCTGTTTTATTGTTCAAATGGGAAGTAAAGAAATACCCTCACTTGGGAGAAATGTTACTCACACTTTATGAAACTATCATTCGCACGTTAGTTCTGTTCATGTGCTTTTCTATGCGTGCTCTTCTTGTGAAAGTGATTTTATATATAATAATGTGTTCTCCTTTTGACTGAGCATAAGTATTTTCAAATTTTGTTAAAAGTCTATGTCGAGACGGATGGATGGATAGAAAGTTAGATAGAGGTTCCTTTGTAGTTCCTGGTCTCACAAGCATTCTGCCTCTCATAGGGTAGAGCCTTACCTTTTTTCTTTCAGTCATCTTAATGGAAAATGCTTGTTTTCCTCCTTTCTCTGACAATTTTCTGCCTACCTAGACTTTGGTTTGTCCATTTAAATGGATTTTTTTTAATTTAACCATTCCCCAATAGGTTGGTGGTTATTTAAGTTGTTTTTAATCTATCATCATTTAAATAATTCTAAAATCTTTGCATACAAAAAATTGAGTCCTTAGAATAAATACCCAGAGTGAAAGAGTCTACTTGCCCAAAGTAAAAAGCAAGTTCATACTTTCAATAATAGTACCCTCTATACTTGTTTATAAACCAAGTTTTTCAGCACATTTCTAATATATTTTTTGTGGTAAAATTAGGTGCCTCGGCTGATATTCAGGTTGGTTCATACTTGAGTATATATGGTATATGAATATCTCTGTCACTAATCCTTTGCTGGCATCAGACATTTCTTCTCTGTTTCTAATATTTAATAGATAAAAATGATATCTAATTTAGTACCTCTTGTTGGTAGTAGTTTTGAACATGTTTTCAAGTGCTTATTAGCTGTTTGCATCACGTCCTCCATGTACTGTTCCTCCATCTCATTTGCCTCCTCCATTTCCTTGTCAATACAATATATGCTTTTCTTGGATGAAATGCTACAGAAAATTCTTGCCTTCTGCCCCTTTATTTGTTACTGATATTTTTCTGTTTTCCATAGCTTGGTGTTGTGCTGTTCTATGCAGAGAACTTACCCTTTTCACTAGCTACTCTGAATCTCAATCTGCTCTACCTGCTGACCTATGATATAATGTATATATCATATTTACAACCTCTGGTTAAACTCCAAACTTTTCTATCAGTGAATCTGATTTTTCTTTCCATCTGTTTTTCATTTCAGCTCTTTGCAATATAACCCCCATTCACTTTGCAATGTGATATGATTAATTCTTTAATATTTTAGTTGAAATATTTTAGCTCTTTTCATTTTAATTAAAATTTTAGTTATCTCTTTTACTTTATTTAATGCAAAATATTGGGCCCTGTTATGCTAATAAGGAGCCCTTGTGGAAATGTCAGGTAAGCCTTGGACTGCGAAGCGTAAGGTTGGCGATTCTAACCCACTAGCTGCCTCCCATGAGAAAGCTGAGGTTATATGTACCTGGAAAGATGTGTAGCCTCTTAAATCCCATCTACCATTGCCATGAGCAGGAATGAACTACATGGCGTTGCGTTTGGGTTTTCATTATGCCAATTAGTTGAATTTTGTATTCCTTGTTTTAAATGCCCTCTCTTATTTTAAGTGTAACAATCACCAAAAATGTGTAAAAGGACACAGTTTTAATCAGTTTTGGTTTTTTTCCCCCCCCTATACTTTGGAGGTCAAGACATCTTTATGACAGAAGAACAGAAGAAATACTATAATGCAATGAAAAAGCTGGGATCAAAAAAGCCACAAAAGCCAATACCTCGACCAGGAGTAAGAGAGCTAAATGATTTTGGGGGGAAACAAAACTGGCCTGCGTTTTCTTCAGAGAGAAGAGTGCCGTTCACATTTTCCGCAGCGAGGACTCCGTCCCCTTTTAGAGCATCACTGAGTCACACCCTTTTTTGATAGTGGTGAAATGTGAACACGAATAAAAGATGAAAAAGAAAAATATACATCTTTGTGTTAAAGGGATGCAGGATGACACAACTAGAGTTCAAATTAAATTCCACAAGAACACATAGTCAAGGTGACATGCCCAAACGCAAGCTGAGCATTGACTAAAAACTAGTGTACAAACAATGTTCATGAGAGGAACAACTGCTAGGAAAGTGGAGAGACATTAGCTCAAAATGTAAAGATTTTTTATGATGATTATATAAGGTAAAACTAATGCTTAGGTGAACCAAGGAAAAAATATTAGTGGACTTTTAGAAAGTTTTCCAGTTGGGTTAGACAACAGCTGCTTTCTTGAAAATAATGAGAATATATATGTTCCTCTGTTCAACCTATAGGCTTCCCATTAGAAGTGAATCAAATATTTTATTTTATTTTATTTTATTTTATTTGTTTGTTTTATTCTATTTATTTATTTATATATATCTTTTTAAACATTTTATTAGGGGCTCATACAACTGTTATCCCAATCCATACACACATCAGTTGTGTAAAGCGCATTTTTACATCATTTCTCAAAACATTTTCTCTCCATTTAAACTCCCGACATTAGGTTCAAGTATTTTATAAGTTCAAGATTTTTTTTATGCAATGAGAAAATAACCTCAGAGTAGTTCAGTGGCCCAGATAAAAATGCCAGACTGTGACTGTCAACAGCAGAACTAGGAAGCAGAACTACAGATAAGGGACAAGGGAGTTAATTGCAAGAAATCAAACCATGGCCTGCCATTGTGCTCTGGTTGATCTCATGCGAGGCTCAACATTCTGTGTCGGACAATATTAGAAAAGGCCATTTGGTAGAAACATATCAATATGCTGCCTATGGCCCATGGTTAAATCCATAATGTTATGTGTCCCCTGAAAATCTAACGTTCTTTTTCATGATTCATAATAAGAGTAAGATACATGGGATGTTAACAGATACTATATTGTAAATGGACTACAAGATTCAAAGGAGTCCTGTGACATAATGGGCAGGCTAACCAAAAGATTAGCAGTTCAAAACCAACAGCCATTCTACAGTAGAAAGATAAGGCTTTCTATTCCTATAAAGATTTATAGTTCCGATGACCCACAGAGACGTTTCTACTCTGTCCTATTGGGTCGCTGAGTCAGAAGAAGAGATCCCAATGTGTTCGCTTTTTTCTTCTTTTTGGCATGAGTCAAATGATTATGAAAATTCTGAATAAACAAAATTAAGCAAGTTTCTTAACCTTTCACACTCAATATGCTAATGTTTATTGTATACCTCTGAGAAAAATGTACAGTATGTAGTGTTTCTCATTGGTGGTCTACTTTGGACAGGGATTGTTCTTGTGAGAAATACCAATTTTGATTTTTTTTTTCTAAAAAAAACGGTATACTAAAAACTATCTTTTGCAATATTCAGGACCAATGGCTACTATATGTTATACTAAAAAAAAAATGTCAGTAAATGCATAGGTACTTATGTAGATACTAATGTGCTAAAAAACAAAAACCACCTCTTCCATTGCTAAGCCATGTTTTTCCCTCTACAGAATAAATTCCAAGGAATGGTCTTTGACTTTGTAACCAGACAAGTTTTTGACATAAGCATCATGATTCTAATTTGTCTCAACATGGTGACTATGATGGTAGAAACTGATGACCAGAGTGAAGACATGACTAATATTTTATCACGTATCAATCTGGTGTTCATCGTCCTGTTCACTGGAGAGTGTGTGCTGAAGCTCATCTCCCTCCGCCATTACTACTTCACCATCGGCTGGAACATCTTCGATTTCGTGGTCGTTATCCTCTCCATCGTGGGTAAGCGCTGTTCAAGGTTTCTGAAGTTCATCCCGTCCAATACAAGTAGAAATTGGAGCCATCAAATTTCGATTACATGTCATTTCATCACTTCTAGATCACCAATGTGCATGTTTTAATGTTTCATCTAGTTGAGTTTGCTCTTTACAATATTAGACCCTGCCATATGTCTATATATATTATTTGCCAGTACAGTAAAGCCTCATTAGAACTAGAAGGGTGCTATTAACTAAATTGAAAATGGTTTGAACATGCAGAGATGAAAAACTATCCAGATGACTCTGCTGAGGAAAGCGCTCAATGAGAGAGAATAATAATGTAGATAGTCATCCGAGAATCGACGGTAGTAGAAACTGAACATAAGGGAAAGTAAATGGTGAAAAGGACTAAAGTTAAGGGAAGAACCTTAGCAAATGCTCGTCAAGAGGGCCAGAGATTTTTCCAGATAACCTTGGAGATGAGTTTGTTCAAGGGAAGGAAGGTGGCCTGGGACCCCAATTTCTCAGTTTTACACTCTGAATGTTAAACATACAATGAATACCATGAGCACTGGCTCATTTCAAGCTCCAGAGCAGTGAAGCCTTCTCTATAGAACTGAAATATTCCTTCTTTCCCAAACAAGATCACCTGATGGCGTCACTGTTTTCCACCCAGGACCGGATACCTGTATTGGGCAGATTTCCCAACTGAGTTCATTTTTGCATTGAGCTACGATCAAATTAATTGTGAATAGGATCGTGCGCCCTGTCTTTCTTACTCACTTTCTAATCCACACATACTGCCTGGGGGTTATTCTTTTCTGGACAAGGCAGTGTAACCCATAGTCAGTTAAGTTTCTTGGGCTCGATTTTTGCCTAACTTTTTGAAGAGGTGGGGGGTGGGGTGGGGAAAGAAGCTTCAAAGAAGATGATTGTGAGACCAATGTTAGCACAGGATGACAGAAAAGATCGTCAGTCTTGGATCCTTTTAGAAATGGATCAGCGCTTATCGAACTCAATGTATGCCTACTACTGTCAGGAAGCCGTAGGTTCCGGAAGACGTGAAACTAGCGTGGGAAGCTGCATGTGCTCTAAGGGACAAGGGCGCGGACTGAGTAGTAATTTCAAAATATAATTTGTGCTCTGCGTAGTTCGCCATTGGTGCACTTTGGGCGTATTTTTGAGATTTTGATTAAGAATTTCATATAGTCTAAAAATTATCTACTAACAACTCCAAGATTGTTTTAAATGATGGGTGTATTGTGGAATATCACAGTTAGGGCTGATCTATTCTATATATTATGTGTTCATCCATCAAATTTAAAGATTATGTCATTTACGTTCATTATTCCGGAGTTCAGAGCCATAACAGAAATAATTATTTTAATGGATAACGTGGTTGTTATTCTAATGGTTGGTATTCTCATTGTTTATCCACAGGTATGTTTCTGGCTGAGCTTATAGAAAAATACTTTGTGTCCCCTACCCTGTTCCGAGTGATCCGCCTCGCCAGGATCGGCCGAATCCTGCGTCTGATCAAAGGGGCCAAGGGGATCCGCACCCTGCTCTTCGCTTTGATGATGTCCCTTCCCGCGCTGTTTAACATCGGCCTCCTGCTCTTCCTGGTCATGTTCATCTACGCCATCTTTGGGATGTCCAACTTTGCCTACGTTAAGAGGGAAGTTGGAATTGATGACATGTTCAACTTCGAGACCTTCGGCAACAGCATGATCTGCCTCTTCCAAATCACCACCTCTGCTGGCTGGGATGGCTTGCTGGCACCCATCCTGAATAGTGGGCCTCCTGACTGTGACCCTAAGAAAGATAACCCCGGAAGCTCAGTGAAGGGAGACTGCGGCAACCCATCGGTGGGGATTTTCTTCTTCGTCAGCTACATCATCATCTCCTTCCTGGTGGTGGTGAACATGTACATCGCTGTCATCCTGGAGAACTTCAGCGTGGCCACGGAGGAGAGCGCAGAGCCCCTGAGCGAGGACGACTTCGAGATGTTCTACGAGGTTTGGGAGAAGTTTGATCCTGACGCCACCCAGTTCATGGAGTTTGAAAAACTCTCTCAGTTTGCAGCTGCTCTAGAACCCCCGCTCAATTTGCCACAACCCAACAAACTCCAGCTCATCGCTATGGACCTACCCATGGTCAGCGGGGACCGGATCCACTGCCTCGACATCCTATTTGCTTTTACAAAGCGGGTTCTGGGGGAGAGCGGGGAGATGGATGCTCTCCGAATACAGATGGAAGATCGCTTCATGGCTTCGAATCCTTCCAAGGTCTCCTATCAGCCCATCACCACCACTCTGAAACGGAAACAAGAGGAGGTGTCCGCTGTTATCATTCAGCGTGCTTACAGGCGCCACCTTTTGAAGCGAACAGTCAAGCAAGCTTCATTTACATACAATAAAAATAAAATCAAAAGTGGGGCTAATCTTCTTGTAAAAGAAGACATGATCATTGACAGAATAAATGAAAACTCTATTACAGAGAAAACTGATCTGACCATGTCCACAGCAGCTTGCCCACCCTCCTACGACCGGGTCACAAAGCCAATCGTAGAAAAACATGAGCAGGAAGGCAAAGATGAGAAAGCCAAAGGGAAATAAAACAAAAATAATTGAATGACAAATTGTTTACAGCCTGTGCAGGTGATGTCTTTTTGTCAACAGGACTCCTTTAGGAGGTCAATGCCAAACTGACTGTTTTTACTCAACTCTACTTACTTAAGGTCAGTGCCTACACTAAGACAGTGACCCCTTGTCGGCAAACGGTGACTCTGTGTAAAGGGGTGACAACCTCGGCAGGAGGTTACTGCTCTCACTACCAGCTGACACTGCTGAAGACAAGAGACAAAGTGGCTACTCAGATTGTAGGGAGGATAAAGGGGTGCAGAGCTATGATTTTGGGGTTGTTAACATGAAACACTCTAGTGTAGTAATTGTATCCACTCTTTGCATTTCAACTGCCACATTTGCCACATTTCTACAAAATCTGTCAGTGGATTCATCTTTTTTTTAGTCCATGTGTTATTTATTATATGTGACTATTTTTGTAAGTGGGGTTTCTGTTGGGACCCAAAAGACCTCTTTAAAGGGTGTGCCCCCGCCCCGGGGTTGTGGCAACCACATGAGCCTGTCATCTACACAAAGAAGTGGTTTGCATGAGGGCATGCTGCACTCAGAAATCATGCATGAGAAAAAGTCACCAGGAAAACAGCGTTCTTAGATGCCATCCATGTTTCTGCAGAAGGGATTGGGTAATAATTGCAGGTGAGGTGCTTTGCTCATCTTGTTTTGTTAAATTCAGTCCCTAGACCAAGTAGATCATTTGTTTGTTTGTTTTGGGGGGGGAGGTATTGGTCATTAAATCTTAGCAGGTGCAAACTTCACTCAAATGTCTAAACTCATAAATGTTATGTTTCTGTTTATAATCCTTAAGAAAACAATGATCATCTGAATATTGCCCCCCCCAAGACTGAAATAACCAAAAGATCCCTTTATAAATTTCTGCTTAATCCTGCACTTTGTTTAGCCATCTTCAGCTCTCAGCAAGGTTGACACTGTATATGTTAATGAAATGCTATTTATTATGTAAATCGTCATTTTACCCTGTGGTGCACGTTTGAGCAAACAAATAATGACCTAAGCACAGTATTTATTGCATCAAATATGTACCACACAAAATGTAGCGTGCAAGCTTTCTACAGGTAATATAATGTATTCTGTACCATTATAGATAGTCTGGATGCTATCAGTGCATGTTTATATTACCACACTGCTGTACCTGTTTCTCCCACGACTCAGAACCTCACTGAGGAGAAACCACATGCCAATGGTAACATCAAGGAAATTGTTCAACAGATCTCATTCCTAAGTCATTAAGCAATAGTTTGCAGCACTTTAACAGCTTTTTTGGTTATTTTTAAATTTTAAGTGGATAACATATGGTGTATAGCCAGACTGTACAGACATGTTAAAAAACAAAAAAAACAACGCTGCTTAACCTGTTAAAAAATGTGTTTAGAATTTTATAAGCAAATATAAATACTGTAAAAAGTCATTCTATTTTATTTTTCAGCATTATGTACATATATAAGAAAAAGAAATTATCTTCAGGTTGATATCACAATCACTTTTCTTACTTTCTGACCATAGCACTTTTTCATGGAAGAAATTTGCTAAATAAGAAATGCAGCCAAGACAGGGTAGTTGTAGATTTCTGCCTTTTTTTTTTTTTTACATTTGCTAATTTTAGCTTATTTCACAGTTTAAGGGGAACGATAAGTTCACAGTCACATCCAAATTATGCTTTGCAATTGGGGAAGGGTATGAAATCTTTTTTACATTTGATTATTTTTCATTCCTTTTTTTGCTGTTTTTCCTAGTTTTTCTAACTGCTTTATGTTGTTTTGCTTCATTGCTTTGTTTTGGTTTTTTAACTCATGCTGATCTAGATTGTTCTAAATATAAGTGGGATTCACGATTCCCCCACACAAGAATAGAGAGTAGTGAACGTAGATCATCAAAGACATCAGGATATTTTGTTTCTTACAGAAGCAAACGATAGGTTCCTCTTTTTCATAACATTATTAGATAAACTGTATTCGTGAACTGCATGCTGGAAAATGCTAGTGTTACCCTCAACGATGCTACCCAACATAAAAAATGTGCAAAACTAATAAAGATTACATTTTTTATTTTATGGCTTGTCCAGTTACTTTTTTGCTCACAATGTTTCACAAGAAGCTGAAGGTAATTTTGCTCTTCAAATTGCTGGAGAAGGAAAGCTAACCCCACACACTGGGGCCTAGAAGGGTGGACAAAAAGAAATGTGGGGTGTGAATAAGATGTGGAAGAGGATCTGACACGGGTCCAAGCAGCAGGTGCAATCTGTGTTAGGCAGGAATTCCAGAAGGTGTCTGTCCATAAATTGGTAGCTCCAGCAAAAGATAAAAATGTATAGAAGTCAAAGCAATATAACAAGGGCACTTCAGTCCATCTATCCTCATGTTAAAATATTTGTTAAATGTTGTCTGTGTGTAAGACAGTTTGTTTACACCTTCAAAGCCACTTGTCGTGGTTCCCTACTCTGCTCCGTCTCTATTTGGGGTGAGCTGTAAGCGCTGCGTCAATGGTCAAAGAAAGGAAAGGGAACTCTCAATGAAGTGGGTTGACCAAATGCTTCCAACAATGGACTCACACATGCCAATGACGAGGAAAATTGCTTTTCGATTTAGTATAAGGTCACGATTGAGTCAGTTGATTCTATGGCAATAATTACAACAGCCTGTGGAATATAAAAAGGCTGTTCCCCAGCTCATCTCCCCCAATTAGATACATATCAGACCTAGGACACTGCTTGCAACTAATGGTAAATGATTGTCAAGTTATCTCCCTGAAGGCATCAGCCATCCAGAGCAAGCAGACCCTATTGTCTGTCCCACCACTGTAGGTGGGACTCACTCCCTGCTGTTAGGGACAGTGGATTGCTTTCCCTGAAAGCTTAGGCTACACTAAGTCTCCAGCTCAAGGGCAATCAAGGTTAGGCCGCCATCATGAATCTAGGATCTGCTCATCTTGTCACGTGTGCCCCCATTCCTCCCCTTCCTATTGTGTGTATACCCCTAGAGCATCCCCCTCTCATTACTGTATTACCTATAGTACATCCCCTTCCTGTGACCTGTGTGGTTACCTATAATCACACCCCTAAGTATATATGGGCCTTGGCCAGAAATAGAGTCTCTCTCCTGCCCTCTTTGCCCGTGCTGTGCACAGGCTGTTGAGATCATGGCCATCCACAAGGTGAATGTGCTACCATGAAATGTGTCTGACTTCTTTATTTTACTCTCTCTCTCCCATCTTTCCAATTTCTCTATAACTTTATTATCATCTTTATATATCTTAATCATACACTTGCACCTATCGAACCCATGATTAGTTGTGAGGGGCTGACTTCCCCCACAACAACCCAGTATTGATAGGTACAATTTCAGTAGAAAAATGACGAGTGACAAACAATCCTATAAATTACCATATTAATTCTAACATCATGTGATAATATATTTATACTAAAAAGTGAAAAATGCCTAAAGAACATTGGGGTTTTGTCAACAAAACACAGAACCCAACTGGTCAAATCTGATATGTGAGCATCAAACTATGTAAAGATGGTAGTATATTATAACCCTATGAACAAAATAAAAATCTATGAGTCTATATTGATTTAATAATAAATGAGAGGGAAGAAAAAATATCTTCCTTCCAGTAGAATATCAACTGAAAGAGAAGAAATAATAGCCTATCAACCTCTGGTAATCATGATGATGATTTATTAAGAGGCATCAGTGAGTGCCAAAGCTCCTGGGTGAAAATCTGATGACAAGCACAATGTGTACATTGCCTCACAGTATCGCTTTTGGATTCATTAAAAGTCAAAGGCAACTTGAGAAATTGCAGTGTAGAAAACCAGCAGGCATCACCTTTAAATATAGCCTGAGCAATTATGGAAGCACTGACGTTGGGCACCTCCTGTGGAGATAGCATGCGGCTGGGAGGAGCTTTGCTTTTCAGTCTCACTGCCTTTGAATTGATGCCAGCTCAATTCTACCAGTAAACTTTATGAAAATGCACGATCAGGAAATCATCCTTTGTACTTAATGACAATTAATTGTAAATGTTAAACATAATCTACATGCCTTCATAGTTCAGCTACATGAGTGTTTGACCAAGCAACTGGTCACAAGACCCTAGCCATGTTAACACAAAACATTAATCATCATACCAATTGCCTGCTATCTCATTTCTTTCAGAGACTACCTTTTAAAACCAACATTTTCACTCTTGGTTAAAATTAAATGAAGTATGTTTTTGTGAGGTGCTATCAAGTCGATTCCAGCCCTACACACAACAGAATGAATCACTCCACTCTCACAATGGTTCCTGCGCTGAAGTTGCAGCCACTGTATCAGTCCATCCCCATGAGAGCCTTCCTTTCCTGCGATGCCCCTCTATGTTACCATACATGATGTCCTTCTCCAGGGACTGGTCTCTCCTGACAATATGTCCAAAGAAGGTAAGACAAAATCTCACCATCCTTACCTCTAAGGAAATACAGATCCTAGTACTATTTATGAGAAAACTTGACTTTAATAATCTTGTTGATGTGATCACATTGAATTTTCAAAATGCTATGCTATTACTCTTCTCAAAAGCATTATGGAATAAACAAAAAGGATAAGATGGTTACAATTCAACTCAATTGTTAACTTCTTCTTCTTCTTTTTTTTTAATTATTCTACCAGAAATGAAGACTATTAAAAATACCATGAAGAACACAGACATCTGTCTCGGAGGAAGTATAGCCAGAGGGTTCTTTAGAATCTCGATGGCAAACTTCATCTCACATGCTTCGGGCATGTTATCAGGGAAAACCGGCCATGGAACAGGATGGCATGCTTGGTAAGGCGGAGAGTCCGTGGAGATGAGGAAGCCCCTCCGGGAGAAGAATTGGCACAATGGCTGTGACGACGGGCTCAACCCAACAGCCTTTGTGAGGGTGTGTCGCACTAGATAGGGTTTCATTCTATTGTGCCTCCGGTCACTATGAGTCAGGACAGCAACAGCTGTGAAGGGAAATGTAACCCTTCCATATGAAGAATATACATACCAGTAAGATCTTAAAATAGATTTGGAAAAATTTTTATAATTTTAGAGTGAACTCATCTTGGACATGTATTTAGTTAAAAGTATATTTTTCTATTCAACCAGAAACAGAAAGGATGTCGTGATACAAGCTACAACATATATGAACTTTGAAGACCTAATGCTGAGTAAGCAAGTCGGTCACAAAAGGACAAATCATGTATGGCTCATTTATATAAAAGGGACAAGAATAAGCAAGTGTAAAGGAAACAGAATGTATTAGTGGTTACCAGGGATGGGGGATAAGGGCGGCGGAGAAGGGGAGTCACCGGGAGTGAGACTCTGGCAGTGGGTTTCTGTTCATGGGAAACTCTGCATCATTTAAAGATTTTGGTTGCACAACTGATTAATATAATTGATATCACTAAAATGTCCATCTGAAAAGTGCTGGATTATCACATATTGGCTTTTATATATCATTCTAAAAAGAAAAGGGCAGCAATTGGATCTGCTTATGCCTAACTAGCACATCACAGAATTTATTTTCTTGGTTCAGAAGTTTAGTCATGGTTAGACAGACATACCAGTCAATTCACTTAACATTGATTTTCATTGTTTCTATTCTGTCTCCAAGTTCATAGCATACTAACTAGGGTGTTAAAAGTAAGCAAAGTGGCCATTCCAAATGCAACAAGTGGTCTTCATTCACCTGAAGTCACAGAAAGAGAGGCAGGAGTCAGAGGGGAAAAAAGGAAAGGAGGGGAACACGTGTCTGGTTGTCTCCGGGAACAATTGCTTCCAAGTAAAGAGCCTGCCTACCATTTCGTAATATTTTGATCAATGCTTCTATTCAGGAATCTGGATGCTAAGGTAAAAAATGAAGAACAGAATTTCAAATTCTCAATGGAATTCGAACTTTGTATTGTATTCAATGTAGCCATCGAATCTGGATGAGTGGCGAAACTGTAGCTTTGATATATTAGCTAAGTGTTAAACCTTAAATGAAAGCAGTACCCTGAAGTATCCTTTGAATAAAAAATAGCCTGTTTTAATTAGTAAAGCATGTTTACCTTGCATATTGTGCTATTTTAAAAGATGATCCATGTGAAATCAAATTGACACTAACCACCCATAAATTTGGATGAAAAATTTAGAAGCAGTCAGTTCAAGATGATGATGGTGGGAAGATGTAGAAAGGGATAGCGGGATCGGCCCCAGAACTCAAAGACAATACGCAATGCCCCTGAGGTGTACAGGCAGAAAATGTTGAAATGGGATCTTAGGCTGTGTATTCTTTCACCAAAAACAAATAAGCAAATAAACAATGACCAAAGACTTGGACAGATATTTCACCAAAAAGGATATTCAAATTATCTTTAAGCACATGAAAAGATGCTCAATACCATTAGTCATTGCTGTTGTTCATAGGTGCTGCCCAGTCATTTCTGACGCATGGTAACCCTATGTACAGCAGAGTGAAACGCTCTCCCGTCCTGTGCATCCACATAATTGTTCTTTTGTTTGAGCCCATTTTTGCAGCCACTTTACCAGCTCATCTTTGGTGGGTCTTCATTCCATTAGGTCATTAAAACTCAATGTTATTTGTCTATCTAGATAAGATAGGCGGGGTAAACAATCCGGAGAAGGAACAATCCGGACAGTTCAGGGGACACAAAGGAGAGGGGGAGGTGGGGGAAAGGAAGGGGGTTTCAACCAACCCAGGACAAGGGAACAACAAGTGATCTAAAATTGATGTCTGGTGGGTCTTAATTAAGGGCAATGTAGCTGAGAGGAATTGCTGAAACCCAAATGAAGGCCAAACATGACAGTGGGACAAGAGGAAAGTAAAAGGAATTAAAGGAAAGAACTAGGAGACAAAGGACATTTATAGATGTCTAAATACAGTCATGTACATATGTAAATATATCTATATATAACAATAGAGAAATAGATCTATATACATACATTTATATGTTAAGGTAGCAGAAGGACATTGGGCCTCTATTCAAGTATTCCCTCAATGCAAGAACACTTGTTCTAATAACCCGGCATCCTGTGATG